TCCTTCCTTCCTTCTCCTCCTCTCCGCTCCCTTCTAGCACTGATGATATTCCCTAGCTGGGTCATGAAATGTCCGCAAGAAAACCATCCAAGGTCAGAGAGCACCAAGGACTCCACGTTTAACTGTACCCCCTGCCCGGGGGGTCTTCCTTCAGGCGGCCCCCAACGAGAGGAAGTCGGAAATGCTTCCTGCCGGCTGGAACGCGGACAAGGAACTCTACACTCTGCGCTACCGACTGAAGGACGATTCCCACGACCTGCTGGTGAAGGCCATTTTGATGGACAACAGCATCATTCTCAACGTCATGGTGAGGCTGCTTTGGGGGGGCAGGGGGGGCACTGATTCGGGCTCCCCTAAAGGAGAAGAAAACTTTGCATTTCATTCTTCTCCCGAAGGATGGAGATGAAAACCCAGAGCAGTCAAAGTCTTACGGACTGGACATTGCCTGCCGTAAAGATTTTGGTTTCTTTTGAACTCAGAGCAGAAGCTGGAAGGGGGAGAGTCATGGGTCTGAGGAGTACCCCCCTACCAGGTCACCCCATTGTTCTCTCAAAGCCCAGCAAATGTTTTTGGGTCTGAGAGACACCCAACTGTTCTGACCCAGGCTTCCCAAAATCACGAAGCCGACTCCACATCCTGACAAAACCCCTTTTATTTAGGCTAATGTGAATTTCTCTCATTCGCATCCAGCAACGTCCTGGCGAACAATCTTTCAAGAGTGATTTACAACCACAGACCTTTATCTGGCGTGGAGAGTTGCCAGGCCGATAGCTTCCAAACAGCACGTTGTAGCAGCAATGACTTGGCAAGAAGTCAGGAACAGATCTTCACCCTAATGAATTGAACTAATTGCCTCCTGCAAAGCCCCACTCCCCTTTCGTTCCTCTTTTATTCCCTATGGGAGGGGCCATTCACCGTCCACCTGAGCCTTTACTCCCGAGTCGACCCTTGTTCCTTAGCTGTTCCCTTCTTCTGGCAGCTCTGTGCGTGCGCACACTGGGAACAGGCTCCAGCTGTTCTTCTTCCCCACTGATCTCTGACTCCGAAGGCAGCTGATAACTGTCGGAGGGCCCTGGCCCCATCTATGTGTCCGACGCAGAGCCCTCATCAGAGCCTTCCCCAGACTCCAGGACTGGCCCAGGTTCCTCCCCAACCTCCTCACTGTCCGAGTCTGCCACCAGCTCTACTGGTCGGCCACAACACCAACATGTCTCTCCCTTCACAGTTTTAAAAATGGGGTGGACTTCAGCTGCCAGAATTCCGCAGCAGAGCTGGCAGGGCTAGTTAGGGAGTTCTGGGAGTTGAAGTCCACCCACCTTAAAATTGTCAAAATTGACGGATGTTGTTATCTATCCAATCAAGGGTACAATTAAGTGCAATGGACAGGTCGGAAAAGTGATCTCACATACATCATGGTTTACAATGGCCACGCCCTCCGTCATTTCAGAAAGCTGTCCTTTGGGTTTTGTTTCATTTTCAAAAAGGTCCCCCTTTACCGCAAAAAATGGTACCCACAATTTCTGGAGGGAAGTTGTTCCGCTGATTAAATGTCCTCACTGTCAGGAAATTGCTCCTTAATTCAAGATTGGATCTCTCCTTGGTAAGCTTTCCATCCGTTATTTCTTGTCCTGCTCTCTGGTACTTCGGAGAACAGAACAGAACAGAATGCCAGAATTGGAAGGGACCTTGGAGGTCTTCTTGTCTGACCCCCTGCTCAAGCAGGAGACCCTATACCGGTGGTGGTTAACCTTTTTGGGCTCCTGTGCCAAAAATTGTGTGCACGCTTGTGCTCACGTGCCAATTTTCGGCTAGTTTGAGGCCTTTTTCAGCCTCCCAGAGGCTTGAGGAAGGCTTCTGCAGGTGTTGCAGGCCGAAAACTAGGCCCGTTTCGTCACTTCTGGTATTTTCGGAAAAAACAGGAAGTGATGAAACAGGCCTAGTTTTTGGCCTGTAAAGCCTGCAGAAGCCGTCCTCAGGCCTCTGGGAAGCTGAAAAAGGCCTCAAACCTGCCGAAAGTCAGCTGTAAGGGGCGCGCATGCGCAGTGAGGTAAGTTTGCCTGCGGTCGTTTGCAGGTATTGGGTATGGCAGTCTAGATAAAAGAAGGATTTGGGGTGATAAGATAGCAGTCTTCCAATATTTGAGGGGCTGCCAAAGAGAAGAGGGAGTCAAATTATTTCCCCAAAGCACCTGAGAGCAAGAAGCAACGGATGGAAACTAATCAAGGAGAGAAGCAACCTGGAAGTAAGGAGAAACTTTCGGATAATTAACCAGTGGAACTGCTTGCCACCAGAAGTTGTGGGTGCTTGATCACTGGAGGTTTTTAAGAAGAGACTGGACACAGACATTTGTCTGAAATAGTATAGGGTCTTTTGCTTGAGCTGGGGGTTGGACTAGAAGACCTCCAAGGTCCCTTCTGACCCTGTTATTCCTCCAACAAACTTCTTCTCTTAGATAGTTTGCAAAGGAAAAAGAAACCAAGAAAGAAAGTCTTTTGGGAAAAGTTTTTTAAGGACATCCTACGGAGGGTTAAGTTCCAGCTTTATGCTTCACTGTTGTTTTCTGCCCTTCTCCATCCAGGATCCCAAAACACAGAAAGTGACAGATCTGACCTTGAAAGTGACCGACTTTGTGGATCCAGAACATCTGGCAGATTTTGACAAGTAATTGAAGTTCTTTCCACTTATTTAAGGAGGGGTTATAAAAAGGGTTGGGGTGGCATAAAATGGGTGGGCCATTCGTACACAGAGGCCTGGGTTGCTGGGATCTGTACAGGGCAAGCCTGGAATTTATTAATTTTTATGTATGGATCAATATATCACAGCTTTTATTTTTATAAATGACTCAAAGCAGCAAACGTACCTAGTAATCCTTCCTCCTCCTATTTTCCCTGCAACAACAACCCTGTGAGGTGGGTTGGGCTGAGAGAGAGGGACCGACCCAAAGTCACCCATCTGGCTTTCATGCCTAAGGTGAGACTAGAACTCTCTATCTCCTGGTGATCGTCCCAAAGTCATCCAGATGGCTTTCAT